CCCGGGCCCCGCGGCCCCCCGCGCCGCCCCGAGATCCACTCGGCTCTCGCGGGCTGCTCGGTCCGGTGGTCCGTCCGGGCTTTCTGCTTGGCTAGCGGCGCCTAAGGGGTCTGAGCCCAAAGCGGGTGGGTGCAACCTCTGGGCCTGCAGGGGACGCTTTCTTTCAAGAGACCCAGCTCACAGTCGGGCGCATCAAGTGGCATTCCCCCCTCCACCCCAGCCTCTTTCTAAAACAAGTAGCTTTTATTTACCCCTGCGGTTCTCAAGTGGGTCCCATTTTTAGCAACCCAAAGTGCTGAAGTCTAGTGGAGGGGGAATTGGTTTTTCTTTTCAGCACTATATAATAACCACTGGCAAGTTGATTAAACTAAGTGCCTTGGTTTACCCTGTCAGGAAATAGGGTCTCTAATGCCAGTATTGATTTTTCCCACCTTTCTGAGATGGTCGGGAAGCCTCTGTGAAAGTAGTTTTGAGTTGTTCATGTTCATTTAAGGGTCACTTGCTGGCCTGTGTGGTTGTTGTTGTTGTTGTTGTTTTTCATTGCATTTGCGAGTCCGTGGGAACGTGTATGTAAAATTGCGAAATATTAAAAAGTGATCTTTGATGTTTAAATTAATTCAGATACCAGTTTGGAGGCAGGGTGGAAGAGTTTGTGTGGATGGTGGGAATTAATGTGTTTAGAGTAGACACAAGTCTGTCTTTGTATTTAGCAAAACCTTTACATGGTCCGGAAATTGAGGGAGGAAAGGATCTTGGATGGCGAAATGCTTCTGTACGAACACGTGCTGGGTGGAACATTGCTTTACCTTTATAAGAAGCTCCTAAATGAATAAATTCAGGAATCCCACTTCCCGTTTCTTAAGTGCTCTATCAAGTTAAAGATGTTTTCTCTTTTCTTTTCCTTAACTTGTGTGGATGAAACTAATTTAGAAACGTGTGCCCGCAATGTCAAACTTGAAAGGCTAGCTTGTGGAGCTTCCCTTCTGCTATGCCATGTGGTGATCCAGAGAATTTATTTTGAAGGTGCTTCTTTGTCTCCCTTCTGAGTCCCTGCAACTCCTCCTCCTCCTCCTCCTCTTCACCACACTGCCTCTGTCCAGTGTTTGGCTCTTTACTGTGTCATTTTGCGCGAGTTTTATCTGTTTGGGCTGGATGCCTTTGACCCAGTTGCTTAGTCATTATTAGTAGCTTTGTGTTTCTATTCCTTCCAGTAAAAGCCTTCATCACTTGGGGAAAAGAATTACGGCTCTCACCACTCATGTCCTAGACTCACTTGGAAGGGACTAGGGAGGACAGTTGTCAGAAGGTTGGAACATCAGTCACCAGAGAAGATGGTCGTTTGCTAAGGGTTTTCTGAATAGACCCACAGAGTAAAGATGCAAAAGTTGGCCTGTCCTTGTGTGGTTTCCTGAAATCTCCGTGGGGGAGATTCCCTTGGATTGCCATCAGAGGCCCTGGGAGCACTGAGTTCTCAGAAGGCCTGCTGAGTGCTCAGCTAGGTAAGAGCACTCCCAGCAAAGGAGTGGGAAGAAGCGGTACCTCCATAGGCAGGGATGGCCGCCCTCCTGGCCTCACATAACTAATGGGCAAGAGAGCCTGGTTTCCGAAGGGAAACAGGAGAGGGGCCGCCGGGGAGTGAGGAGGGAGTGGAGTAAGCTTGAGGTTGATCAGTCACTCTCTGAGTATTTATTGTCCCTCACCATCAAGGGCAGCTGTGTTATAGTCATCAGACCTGTTCACTCAGCTCCCTTGGTGCTCTAAAGGAGACCTGGCATGTCTGCATTCTTCTCAAAGCCCTGCATTTATTAGAGGACACCACACAGTTGAGTTCATGAGAAACCCTTCAGACCTCAAATCTTCCCCTACCTGCTTCCAAGTTAATGTTCTTTATCTTATCTTTTGAGCTTGAGTATCACTTGGGAAGTTAAGAAGACCGTGAAGGGTTAGTTAGGCTGTGGACATGAGATACAGAAAACGGCGGTGTTTCTTTTGAGGAAGGTGGTGAACTCTTTAGAATAGTGGGCGTATGTACAGGGGTGGGCAGCCTGGAGGGTAGAGTTATGAGAGTTATGTTGGATAGCTCGCGCCATCATCCTTGAGCAGGGAAGGTGTCCCAGCAGGTGCAGTTTCCTCGTGCTTCCCTATGTCCACTTGCCCCTGTGAAGGGAGAGCCGTGTGGAGGTGGAGTAACCGTGTGTCCTTGGGATGGACAAACAGACTTGAACTGGGTGATAGGGACCGCTATATTCACCTGACACTGGCCATGGTGCTCTCTGCATGAATACATCAGGTCAGGAAAGAGGTGCTTTTATAAGGAAACCTGAAGTACTTTGGCAGTGCTTTTCTTTGAAGGATGAAAGGTGGCACACTGAGAAGCCAAGCCCTGCTGCTCTGAGGCCTGTAGTTCTGTGGAAGGCCTTGGATGTGCAGCCAGCGGATCCCAGGCCGGAGAAGCTCCGATAAAGCGGAACTAGAAAAGGGGTTTCTTGGCTCAGATAACATGGGTGTATTTAGGAAGAGGTAATCCCGTGGAGACATAAGGAGCTTGGAAAGTAGTGTAAAAGGCCACTGTTCTTGAAAATAGCCCCCCCCCCCCCCAGTAAGATAGCTGCACATCTGCTCCGAGCTTGAACCACATGGGAGAAGGGAGCTGGTGAACAATGGGACCGATGTCCTAGGCCTGTCTGAAGCAATGTTCCAAACTTCTGGGGCTAAGGACGTCAGAAAGTGCATTTTTTACTTTGAGACCCAGAACATGAGTGTCTGAAGCAAGTTTTGTTCTTACTCTGTTTCTAGTCTGAGTTTTTAGGAACTCCTCACCTCCAGTCCCCTATTTGTTTAATCAATGGAAAACCATGTTTATTGGGGGTCAGGGTGGGGTGGAGGTGGAGATGCTGGGGGAGGTGATTGAGAGCTGTCTGGATCTGTCAATGGGGACAGAAGAGTGTGTGGGAACTCATCTGGTCTGTGAGGGTATGAGACTCATACAGACGCAAGGCAGCTGGATGGGGAAGATGTGAACCGGGACTTCCCACTTGTCCCTTTTACTGCAAAGCCAAGCAATTGCTTTTGAAGGGCAAGGAGGAGGAAGAAGTGTGGAAAGGAAGTTGCGTTTGGATTTCAAAGCAGATTTCTTTGGAGCAGCGGCTTTCTCTCCGCAGAGTGAAGAGACAAATGGCCCCGGACAAAGTAGCTGATGGATTTAGGTCATGTCCTCTTCTGTGGGCTGCCTCGGGCAGCGCGGGGGCTTAGATGTGGGAAGATGAGTAGGAGGCTCCTACTTCCTGGCTTTGAGGAGTTCTGAGCGAAGCTCAGGGAGTGTGTTGTGTTGTTTCTAAGCCTCACTTGGTGTTTGAACTCAGTGAGAAGTTGGCTGCTGGCCTCACCAAGAATTGGAACCGTTTTCTCATTCTCTTTTATCACACAGCGAGGCTATCAGGACTTCCTCGGAGGCCTATTTCATGACCCATGATCAAATTCAAGTTTCTGCCTCAGCCAGTGTCAGGCAGCGAATTCTAATGTGTGCCCTGGAGCTGACTAAGGGCCGAGACTCTTCTTTGGGTTTTTGATTTCCTTTTTCATCACAATTAACATTTGACTCCCAACACCTAACACCTTGACACTTCTCTCCGCCGGTAAAATGAAGCCTACCGAAAAAGGGACACAGGTATCAGAGTCCACCCTAGCCCGTTGCTTAGTGACTTCTTGCTTTCGTCATTGACATTCGACCTAGTTGGAGCCCCTCTTTGAAGCATCTGGATTCCTTATGTGCCGTTCTTTACTGCAGGTGACATTTTTTAGGTGTTTGAGTTCACCCGGTTTCATCTGCCTGGCATTTGTCCAATGCTTCCAGTTCTGGTTTCACTAATATTATCTCTCACCTCCCCTAACTTTGGGTATCTGCCCAGCGACTCCCGTGAGCCCAATTTTGGATCCTGGATTCTAGAAACAACTATACACCAACTAGCTGTCTATACTGGCTTTCATTTAACTTTCAGTTTGGGGGATAAGGAGAAACGATCTTGGTCAAGTTCATTTTACTTAGTTTTCACCATTGAATCCACTGAGAGATATATTTGGGGGGCTG